TGAATTTTCGTTAATATCACTATCAACATAATTTTGAACAGGTTCAAATGGGTTGATATTAACGAGGGTCACCTGTAATAGGTAAATAAATAAATAAATGCAAAAAATAATAATAATAATAATAATAAAAAACAACAAAAAAAAAAGAAAATTGTATTAGTTTATAAAATATTAATATTAGTTTTTATCTTCAGAATCAAATATAGACAGTGGTAGCGAAGACGAAGGTAGCAAAGATGAAAAGGATTATACTCAAGATACCCTTAACATCCAATTAACAATGAAGAATATAACAATATTATTGACAAAACACCCACACAATCAACACATTCCAACGTAACTTCAACTAATCGTTACTTCGCTTCAATATTTGATAATGAGGATAATAATGATGATAATTTATCTGCTAATGAATTAGATAAATATTTAGACATGTCTATTGCCTCAAAAACCAAGTCACTCTTAGACTGGTGAAAAGAACGAGAAAAAGATTTTCTAAATTTGAGCAAATTGGCAAAAAAATATTTATCTATACCAGCTACTTCAGTGTCAAGTGAACGACTATTTTCTGATGTGGGGAACCAAGTAACTCCTAAACAGACACGTCTTAATCCAGAAACCATTTCACAAATACTGTTTTTAAAAAGAAATAACAACATAATTAATATTACATAACTTTTTTATATTTTTATAATTTTACTCTAATATAGATCTTTCTATTTGTATTTCATATAACTATAATAAAAAATTTTTTATAACTTACAAAGATCGCTATTATGAATTAAAATGGGTTATAAAAGAACCTGGTAACTTTTTTATAAATATAATATTTAAGATTGTAACATTTCACTAAAAAAAAAATACTTATTAATTAGTAAAAGTTTGAAAATAGTATAAAACTATTAAACTTCATAACACAAAAGATTTTAAAAGCCAATATGAATATTTCATTATTCTTGTACTGTATGTAGATTTTAAATGCTAAAATCAAATGATCAAGTTCAAAGATCCGAGAAAGCTTGAAGATCTTGTTTAGCACGTCTTAAAATCATGATCTTAATACCTATAAACTACAAAGTAAAATCTTTGAGTAAATAAATATACGTAACAAACACGATCTAAAGGTCATAATACTGTAATAAGCATACGTATACTTGATTTATATTTGGGTTACCCGGGTGACCCAGTTTGTAACCCGGTAATGATTTTTTGTGCAGGTAGATAACCCGGAGTTAAAGTTTTTGACAGGTACAATCTTTACACACGAGTACTTTTGATACCTAATTTAAGTAGTCTGCCTGGGTTCTACACTAGCCGCCATACCTGCAACCTAACTAGGAGATTACCTATTTAAGCTCTCTGATTATTTAACTAACGAGAGTATGACTAGCCATACATGCAACTTTTGGTTACCTATTTAAATAGTCTGCCCTAGATTTCACACTAGCTGCCGTACCTGTACCCAACTATGGGGAATACCCATTTAAATCCTCTGGCTCCATTTCTGTAACACACTTTACCCTAACACTCTTAATGAGATTAGCAATACCATATAAGAACCCTAAGACTTTAGCCATATATAGACATTTATTCTTGTGGTTTGACACAGTTATTAATTTAATATACATTATATTATTGTATCTATATTTTATCTTATATTACTCTAGATTATCTCTTAAGTTAACTGGATACCCTAATTGTGCAACCTGTAGTTAATTTTATAGTTTGGTTATCCAGATAATCTAACAGTTAATTAGTTATAATACCTTAGAGTACGATCACTACACTAGGCCAATTTTAATAATCTAACAATCATTAGAACCAGAAAAATCTCCTTTACAAGATTTCTTAGAGCTAAAAGAAAGGTTTACTTATTAGTTTTAGAATTAGAGTTAGAATAATATTAAAATTTAAAACTAAAGTTAAAGTTATATATAGTGTTATATATAGGACAATTTTAGATATTTTTTTAAATTAAAATTGCTCAAAATTTTATTAAGATAATCTATTTTAATTTTTTTATAAATAAATCCAGCACCTAAAAATATATATAATTATATATTTTTTTATATTATTTTATTGATTATTTAAACATGGGACATAGGCTTGAACAATTTTAGACAATCTTGGATATTGAACATTTTACATAGTGTGGACACGTCCCATGTACAACACTGCCCTAAGTGCACATTCCCTAAGTGCATGGTATATAAAAAACCCTCTAATATGCATGCTTCTGCTTGGTTCCAACTCATATAACAATTATAAAATTTAATCTCCCTAAGTGCATACCTTCTCTAAGTGCACATTTTGCATTTTTTTTACTATAATCCCGAGGGGTGTGCACTTAGGGGGTGCGACTGTATAATGACGTTTATAGAAAAGCTTTGTACTAATAGAAACAAAATTATTATCTACTTAATCTTCTAAGTAATTATTAATTATTTACTCTAAAGTATTATTAGTTATCAAAATAACTTACAAGTTTTTGTTTAACTTCACCAGGTCAAATATAGGTTGTGAAGGATCAATAAATTGCATTATTAGAACCTCTCTGCAAAAATATAATACTAACTTTTTTGAATCTTAAATATTTTAAATACTGAAGAAAAAGCAGTAGCAGGGGATCTTTATATATAAACATGCCTTAACTAGAAACAATAAATTTGATTTGAACAAAAACATTAGCAGAAACTCCTAACAAAGCATAACTATAACTTTATTGAATTTTGAAAAGAATGAACCAGCTTTGAATAAGAAACATCACTAGCAGAGCTTTTTATATGAATATTATCTTGACTTTCTTGAATCATCAATTAAGTGTAGAAATCCCAATAGATAAAACAATTTTAATAATCTATATGTCATTATATTTCATAAATGGCTATAGATAAAAATATTTATAGAGTAATAAGAATTTTTATATATTATGATAGAAATTAAAATTATTAAATGCATATGTGAAATATCGTTATAATAGTTAATAGTTATCAGAAATTGTAAGATCGATTATAGTAGAATCTAAAAAATTATAATGTAAAAAGATTTTACTGATTAAATTTGAATATTATAATAAATATAAGTACTAAGATTTTTAAAGTTAAGAAGTTTACTAGTAAGTTTATCTTTAGGACAAATTGGCAAGCCGGTTGATAACGTTGGAATAATTGCATTTGCATATTGGAACTCTTTTAATATTGCCAATTCAGCTTTGTCTTTTGCAGCATCACTGTATAATATACTAGACCATTTTAATAACCTATTGTAGATATAAGATGCAGTCATCTATTTGAAGGATTAGCATCCATACATTGATTTGCTAATTTAATATAGCATCCAGGGGTGCCTTTAGCAATTTCAGGATGTAACCCTTTACATATTTCAATAGCTAACACTTTATTATATTCAATATCTAATGAGGTGGTCTTCCTGTAGATATTTCTGCCATAATAATACCAAAACTATAAATATCTGCTGTTATTGTATATGGTCGTTTAAGTAACACTTTAGGAACAACGTAAGGTAAAACTCCATATATTTTATATTCTAACTCAGATTCATCTTTCTTTCTGGATAATCCAAGATCTGCAATATAAGATATTAAACCTCCATTAATATATTGATTTTGCAATATATTACCGCTATGAAAATCTCCATGAAAATATCCTGCTTCGTGAACTTTTTTTAAATCATTCGATATATCTACAAGTTGCTTTAATTTACTTTTCTAATTAAGATCTCTAAAATTTGACAAGAGGAATTTATGAAGACTTCCTTTATTTGCATATTGAAAAACCATTAAATCTTTATCATTAGTTGTATTTTGAGTTAGCTCATAAACTTCAAGATCACTACCCATTAATCTAACTTCTGTATAACTTTTAACTAAGTAGTTAAATAAATTTTATAATGTTAAAAATTTGTCTTTATTAGGTAATAATAAATAAACCATTTTAACTTACTTCTCTTAAAAAATTATTTTGTGAACCTGGCAATGTCTTAAGTGCAACTATATATGATGGTGTACGTGATTGTGTGTATTTACCAAATTCATATGAAGCTATTCTTTTACCATCTAACCACGTTGCTGAAAACACAGAGCCAAATCCTCCTTCACCAATTTTTTGAATGTTATCTAATCTATTAAAAGGAATCCACTCGATTGCATCTTCATATTTTGTGGCTTTGAGTTGAAATTCTTTAATACAATTATTGACATCTTTATTTCCACTTGTTCATCCTTGTGTTGTTTTCTGAGGGTCACATGTTCGACACCAAGCTTCCGAAGTATTATATCGATTGCAATTTGCATATTTCCCATAAGGTTTCATTCTAGAATCAACAACTAAAATGTATTCATTTGTTGAAGTGTCTTGAGTTAGTCCATATACTTTAAGTTTATCATCCTTTGATTGTATAAGATATTTAACCTTTTAAATAAATAGAAATAAAAAATATTCATAGTGAATCATATGGGGTCTTTGCCTTGAAAATGGCCTTACGGTACATGATACCGAAAGGTCATTTTCAAATCAAAGACCCCATATAACTATACTTGCTAGCAAAACCTGGACAAATTCCAAATAATAAAAAAACAATTGCTATTTATAAAAGGTTAAATCAAATAAATAATTTTAATATATTGTAAATATATTATTTATAACTATATTAATATATACAATTTGTTTAAATAAAGATTATTAATAAAGTTTTTAAGATATTAGCTTTGCTAGAATTTGGGATTTGGGATTTGGGATGACAGACAAATCCCAAACTATAGTAAGTTGGGATTTTGCCAACATGTATACATATAACACATTTTAACCTACCCCGCTCAAATTATCTAATAAATTTTTAGTTCCTTGTAACATTTTAAGCTCCACTATATATGATGATATACGTGACTGTATATATTCATTATCTTCAATTTTACTCCTTCGAACTCCATCTAACCAGGTTGCTAAAAATCTATCACCGATTTTTTGAATATTATTTAATTTATTAAAAGGGATCCATTCGATTACGTATTCATAGTTTGTAGCTTTAAGTTGAAATTCTTTAATGCAATCATCGACATTTTTATTTCTACTCGTCCACCCTTGTGTTGTTTTCTGGGAATCACATGCTTGATACCAAGCTTCTGATGTGTTATATCGGTTGCAATTTGTGCATTTTCCATAATTAATATATCTTTTAAAGTCAAAAACTATTGCATACTCGTTTGTTGCAGTGTCTTTAGTTAGTCCATATACATTAAGCTTGTAATCTTTTGATTGCATGAAATCTTTAAACTTATAATTATAAAAATGTATATATAATGTTAATAAAGCAAATATGTATAAATAACAAACCAATTTTAACTTACCCTTTTTAAAAAATCTAATGTATTTTGAGAACCAGGTAATATTTTAAGCTCAACTTTACATGGTGATGTACGTGGCCGTATATTTATATAAGCATCTTAGTAATAGTCACTATAGTTATAGTTAATAATATTATTATAACAACCTATTTCTATTTTTTAAATAAACTTGTTTAGTATACCGTATAAGCACGAAATGACGCGCAGGGGCGTCACTTTGAATAATGGCCCAAATTAGGCTTAATTTAGGCCAAAATTCGAAATTACACCCCTGCGCGTTATTTCGCGCTTATACGGTAATAGTTTATATATAATTGTAGATTTAAAATTAGTATATATCTTCTTTTTACAAAATTTTATTAGCAAAATATACAAAATTTACAAAATTTTAAAAAGTTGTTTTAAGTGATTTTATTTTACTATTTTTAATATATTTAAGTTCAAAATTTGAGAATAAGTTAATATATAGGTTTAAAGAATCTTTAGCTTAAAGTTTATAGAAAATTTATATATTTTTATTATAATTTTTATTATAAACTTACACTTATATATAAACATATATTAATATATCTTTAACTTATTCACATATTAGCTTATATGCTCTAGTCTCTAAGTACTTAATAATATTATATAGATTTTTATTACAAAAATAGTATACAAAGATCTAACAAACTAAATATTAATACAACAAAAAGCAATTATAAATCTCATCAAATTTCATTCTTCATTTAACTAACCCAGCTTATTAATAATATAACTATATTTTTTATCAATAACTTTAAATGACTTTATCTTAGCTAATCTACTATAATCTATTCTAGCAGAAGATATACAATACAAAAAAGCAGCCAATATCCTTATTTTAATATTATTAAAAATATTTACAAAAATCTATGAGCAAGTCTAAAAACTCTATTATAAAAAATTTGCAAAATAGAAGAAGCTAAATAAGATCCTAGTATATAACTAAACAATACTAATACAGATATATAGTTTTACCAAAAAATATATTAACAATATAAAAAATTTATATATAACTACCTATATGGACTACTAGACCTACTTTATACTAATAATAATAACAATAAATACTTTTCAAAAAGAAAAATAAAATATAAATTTAACCAATAGTATACTATATAGATTCAATATAGTTTATTTACAAATTATATACTAACTATAAAATCTAGATAAGTTTTAACTACTCTAATAAGTTTAGATGGCAGATAATTAGTCTTAGCTTTTATTCTTGCATATAGTTTATATTATTTATTTTGTACAAATTGGGTTCTTATTATAATTACCCAAATAAATTGCTAAATAAAAATACAAACAAGGCCTTATCTTAAATACTGTCAGCCCTCCCAAAACCGGTAAGTATGGTGGACGGGTTTTATATCAATTTTGGGAAAATATCAGATTTGAAAATTGTCACGTGACAATAAGATATTGATCTACCAATCAAATTTTAGAAAATTTTGGGTATGTGGTACTAATGTTTTTAGCCATATTGGTATACATACCTTAATTAATTAAAATGCTAAATGCCACATGCAAGCCTAACTGCATAATGGTTCACTTCTTTTGCTTCTTTGATTTGTTTTATTAATGCTTTTACTTTGTCAATATTCACTTTTGTATGGGTTAGTGTGTTAATATTTACTTTTAAAATGCCTAACATAACTATGCAATTCTACTACATAACTAATATGTAACTACTCTTTATATAAAAAAGTTTTTTTTATATACACACAACTAAAAACCAGTTCGATAGTTTTATTATCTTTTAATTTATTTTTTTTATTTTTTTTTTTAATTTTTTTTTAATTTTTTAATTTTCTTCTTTTTTTTTATTTTTATTTTTTCAATTTATCTTACAATCTAAAAGTGACATTTATGTTGTTGCAGCTTATTTAATAGTCATTTCACCAAAGTTCATTTAGCCAACATTATATATGATTAGAGCTAGCAACTAGATTAGTTCAAGGTAATTATTATTGCTTAGCATAATGTTAGCTAATTAAACTGCTAGTGTAATAATTATCAGTGAAGTAGTGAAAATCTGTTTATGCCAATCTGATTGGTAATCCTAAACAAGACATGTTAATATGCTTAAAAATGTTGTTGGAATTCAAAATTAGCTTCGAATTCATAAGAACGAATGATGCGATCAAATACTTAAGAAGCAAATGCACTACAGTGTTGGCCTATAACTCTTTATGATCTATTAGCCAATTATAGGTTATAACTTTATGATTACTATTAAATTATAATCATCTTGGTTATATAAAGCTGGATATGATCCAAAATGGCTAACACTAAATGCATTTGCTGATTAGATAGTACAAAGATAGAATTTGCAAAATCTTTTAACTCATCTGAACTATTTTTACTGGTCCAAAAAAAAAAAAATCTCTATTATAAGTCAGGATGACCAAGAAAGTATAGCATCCTAATAAGACATAAACCATTTTTATTTTAGCACAAATACCTTGTATGTTTGTACATATTGTACATATCATCATATTGATCAAGGTCGATGCGAATCTTTTAAAGCGGATCAATTAAACAGGTCAAACCAATGCTTTTGCATAAAATATTAATTTTTTTTTAAAAAAAAAACAAAAGTTAAAATAAGTAAATAAATTTATTTTTATAAAAACTATAAATAAAAAAAATAATAATAATAATAAAAATAAAAAAATCTTATCAGTTTAATTTAAAATTCTGTTTCTTGATATTAACGTTATAAAGCCAACTATAGAGGATACCTATTTAAATCCTCTGGTTTATATTTCTATAACACACTTTACCCTAATACTCTTAAGGGATTAGCAATACTGAATAGGACTCTAAAACTTTAGCTATATACAGGCATTTGTCCTTGTGGTAAACCTAAC